TTGTGAGTATTAAATTCTTTAATATTTGTTGAATGATCTAAAATAAATTCGTAGAATTTATTTTGTAACATGCTTGATCCTCCACCTTTTGTCAACTGATAAAAATGAAAAATATTGGAAAGATCAAGTTTGGTAGAAAACTTAGCATAATTGTATAATGGTGGTTTCTCCAATAGTTTAAAAGTTAATTCAAAGCTGGTCAAGTATTCCAATAAACAATTAATTAATATTTTAATGCTGTTAAAAGAATAAAATGGATTTTCCCACAAAGTTGGAATATTGATCTTGTGCCATTGTTTGTTGACAAGAGTACAAAAATATAGTATTTTATAATCGTCTTCAATGCATTTGCATATTTCAGCTAAAAGCTCAGGAGGTAAAGGAGGTGCCACCTGTCTATTATTAAAGTAATTAAATAAAAAACAGTTCATAAATAATTAACTAGAGTAACGACAAGTGGCGGGCGATAACCACCACCACCATCCTTAAAACGCTTACCCTTTTTCTTCACTAAGAGCAGTTTCTTTTCTTCTTTTTCTTCTATCTTGTTTGGAGTTGTTCATTTTAATAAAATAAAATAAAAAGAAGTTTGTTATTTGATCGATGCGTACACATTAATTATTTATCCTATTGGTTTTTTTTTTGGTAGGACAGACGTGAATTGATGATTTTTTTTTTTTGGAAAAACTATTTTTTGACAGAGCCCAAGGTGACAAAATGTGAGTGTTGTTGTTTGGTTTGGGTCTCTTAAAGAATACGTGTTAATAACTAACCAGAGGTACTACTTTTTATTTGTATTGATATGTATGAGGTGTCTTTTATTTTAGCTTATAAATATTTTAATTGGAATCAAAACGTGGAGCAGATCTTGTTGGGTAATTACAAGATTTTCATTGATAATATTTTGCTTTGTGTAATCATAAAAAAAATGGGTCTGATTCATTCCGTCGAAAATTATTTCGTCACAAAAAAAAACTTCATTAAACAAATTTCTCCTCACACTTCCCACACACTCTGCTTTCCTCACCTAATTTCTTAACTAACTTCACATCTAACTCGTTCGGTCTCTGGCTCGAGAATGAAATAATTTCGATGAAATGAACATTCGATGAAACAAACTTTCGACGAAATAGGTGTCGACGAAATGATTTTCGGCGAAGTAAACGCGACCGATATATAAAAAAATATAAATATCAATACATAATTTTTATACAAAAAGAAAGGATTAAATATTAAAGCTCTAATTTTAATTTTTTTAAAGGTTAAAGTTAAGCCATGGAGAACTTTTCGATTTAATGAGTGTGTTTGTAATCCTTATAATGCTGATTTTGATGGTGATGAAATGAATCTTCATGTATCTCAAACTGAGGAGGCGCATATAGAAGCAATAGAACTTATGGGTGTCAAAAAGAACCTAGTAACTCCAAGAAACAGAGATCCTATCATTGCATTCATTCAAGATTTTGTCACATCCTCTTTTTTAATTACTAAAAAAGATGTCTTTTACAATCGTGCACAATTTTTACAAATCTGCTCATATATGGCTCTCTCTATGGTAAAGCCTTAAATATCACATACAGCACTAAATTTTTTATTTTTTGAGATCAAATTTTCTATAGCATTGAAAGAATAATACAACCTTTTGTACAATTGGCAATTTTTAATTAAATGGGAGAAGCTTAGATTTATATTTAAGGATTTTAATAATAATCTATCGATTCATATTATAATTAGAAAACGAAAGATTAAAGATCAAGGTAAAAATTGAGAAAAAAAATTAAACAAACATTAAACAAACAAAAAATCAGTTGCTATTCAAAAACAAAGATGAAATTTATTAATTATTATAAATAAATGTTTTTATTTATGATTTTAAATTAACTAATTTTCTTTTCTTTAATGAGCCACCACCTTCTATTTCATCTATTTCAGTTAGTTCATCAAAGAATTCTGCTATATTATTTGATTCCCAATCACGTCGAATATATTTAAGTGCTGCTATATTATACCCAATTAAGTCCTTGGAAGAAAAAAAATTTTATTTTAATTAAAAAAAAAATAATAAAATTGTAACATTTGAATAATTTGTAAACCTTTTGTCTCATTAAAGTATTCCTGATATTTGTTCGTAAAGAATCTAATCTTGGCCTCATAAGACGATTTGTAACAATTTGATCATGATGTATTTTAAGTAGATGTAATAATATTCTGCAAGTTAATGGAACATTCCATTCCTATCAAAAAAAATTTTTATATAAACAATTAAATATTATACAACTGTTAATTTATTTATTTTTTAACAAACCTTTTTAGCCCAAATATCCAGGTAATTTAATAGTGAAGCCAATTTATTAAATGGCAGTATCAACAAAGCTTCTTCTAATTCAGTAGATCTCACCTTCTCAATTGTTCTTAACACATATTGATCACCTGTTAAGTTACCAAGTGCTACCAAAATAGGATTTGGTTTTGGTGGTGGACCAGGATCTTTATTAATTTCCTTCAACTTAAAAATTTAATCATACAGTAATAGTTTAGTTACACGTATAATATAAAATTCAACTTAAAACAAAAACCATGACACCAACCTGATTGTATGTGATCCAGTTTTGATCATTTTCATTAGCAATATCTAATGCTTCGATTATTCTTTCACCAGCTTTGAGTGTTTCCATGGTTTGTTTCCCAGCTGATGATACTTCTACAGTGTTATCTTCTAATTTTGTTTTTTCCATTGATTCAGTCAAAGTAGACTCGTACAATTCTTCTAATTCTTTTTCACGTTCTTCTTCAAGGAACAACTAAAATTTATAAGTTAAATTTATTTATTTCTGTTAATAAAATTTTAAAAACGATATTGGAATAAATATCTTTTAAATATATTAACTGGTTCATCTGTTTGTTCCCAAAATCTTATTGACCGATCACGAGATGCTGAAATGATTAAATCACCATGTTTTCCAATTATCAAAGAATAAATTTCGCCATGATGTCCTTCAATCTTCATGATATTTTCAAACTAATTTTTTAAAAAAGAAACAGAATAACATTAATAAAAATATCAAAATCATTTATAAGAAACATAATATTAATCTACATACATTATCGCCATCCCAATATTTTATCAATTTATCTTTACTTGCGGTGAATATGTAATGTGTATTGGGAACAAATTTAACGCACATTATATTATCTTGATGAGCAAAAATTGATTTATGACAATCACCAAAATCAAGACCCCATATTTTAATATTTTTATCTGCAGAACCAGTTACTATTAATTTATTATCAGATGAAATGTCCATTGAAATAACTGGTAACTTGATTTTATTAAGGGAATTAAATAAAATATTTGTTTAATATGATTGATTTTTTTAAAAAAAAATGAGTACAATAAAAAGTAGCAATATAAAATAATCTATATACCTTATGTCCATATAAAGACAAAAAAAATTTCAATGTATCATCATAAAATACTTTTACTGTTGAGTCTAATAGTGCTACTGCAACAAATTTTTGATTTGGGCTATATTTGACACACAAAACATCATCACTCATTTTTAGAGTACGATTATGAACCAATTTAAGATGTCGTATTATTGACTATTAAAATAAAATGTATTTTTTGTCAATATAATGAATACATCATAGCACTAATTAAATTAATAATAAAGAACATGACAAAGCTACATCATTTTCTCTCCTTTTGGTATCATCATCATCATCATCATCATTATTTTTTTCTATTGGCATTTCAAAATCCCAAAACTTAATATTTGAATCAGCACTTCCAGTGACAATTCCACATTGATCAGGTCGAATATCTATCGACCATATTTGACTCTCATGAGCATCTATTCTCCCTATCAAAGATGAAGAAGAAATATCGAATAATTCAAGTTGCCCAGTTTTAGTACCAAGTATAACCTATTAAAGTAAAATAAAATAAATAAGTTTATATTAAAATTTGGTAATATTTATAAAAAATTTTAGTACAAACATATCGATTTCCTGGTACGAAAGCACTACAAAATGCAAACCCACATTCCATAGTTCGAATACATGTTGTAGTTCGAACATTCCAAATTTTAAGAGTATCTAAAAAATAAAAGATGACAAGAGTATAAATATTTTTAAGTAATATATAATAATATATAAAATAATACCTTTGGAGGCAGAACATAATAATTCATCATCTAAACTTAGTGCCAATGTTCTAATATCATTACGATGTCCATGAATTTCAACAGTATATAAAAGTTGAGGCTCCAAGCCTTTTTTAGAAGGTAGACTAATTTTATATAGTGCAAGCATATTGTTTGTTAAAGAAACAAGAACTTGGGCATAGCCTGTCTTAAATGTATCTTCCGATAGTGAAAAGTCAAAAGATCGTATTTTCCCATCAGTTCTGATAATTTGAAATGAGGTGAATGCATCACTTGCTCGAATTTCTAGTCCCTTCTCATCCAAATCCATATCCACATCATCAACTGTTACACTTTCTTTTAATTTTTGTCGTTTCTCCTTTTCGCGTTTCTTTCTTCGAGCCAATTTCTTTTTTATCTCTTCATCTTTATTAATACGAAAAAATTCTATTATTTTGCCCGCACCTTGGACACCCAATAGATTTAATTTAGGATGAAATGCCAATGTAACGACCCGATCTTTGCTTTGTCTTGTCACGCTTCCATAGAATTTAATTGATCTTTTAACCTATTTTATAATAAATTTTTTAAAAAAAATTTACTAATATGAATAAATTAAGCAATTAATAGTGCTTTAAACATTATTTTTAAAAACATTCAAACCTCAGAGTCTTTACTTTCTTTAGATTCTGATCCTTTTGTTAGCAATTCATGATCAATGGTCCAAATTTTTAATTCATTATCATCACCACCTGTTACCAGTAAACTCTCATCTTGTGAAATATCAAAATTCCAAATCTCACTACGATGTGCCACTATTGTTTCCATACAATGTTGAGTACTTAAATCCCATAGTTTTAACAATGTGTCTTTAGATGATGAAATTAAATAATATCCAGACAGTGATGAAGAAGGCAAAATTTCTTTTGATTTTTTATTAATACCAAATACTGATTTTGATAGAAATTTAACCGAGGTAATTTGATCTTTGTGTCCACGCATTCTAATCAAATACATGAAAAGATTTTTTTGATTAATACTTGAAATGAATTATTTAATCTAATTTATTCATGTATCTACCTATAAAGTCCTATCTCACCAACAACATCCCATACAATTAAATCTGTATCTTTTGAACCTGATGCTAATCTTGTGCCTGACTGATCAAAAGTTAAAGCTGTAATTGCTCCACGATGACCATTAAATATATTTGATGTTGATGATTTCTCAATATTCCATAAACGAATTGATCCATCTGAATAACTTACAAATATGAATAAACATAAATATAAATTTGTATTTAGATAAATGAATTACTCGAATTGTATAATTAAAATTCTTTTGATAATAACCCAACGGCATAATCAGTATTATTTGGATTTCTGGTTATAACAGTTACTTCTGAATTATTATTAACATCATGCCATTTATTAACCTAAAAATAATGAATAAGCATTAATTTATCAAGTAACAATAATAATGAATAAGTATTAGTTTATTGAGTAATAATGATAATAATGATAATGATAATGATAAAAGTTTACAAAATAACGTCTAACCTGTATACCCTTTTTTATATCCCATATGACGACATCCTCAAGAGCAGGTGTAATGGCGAGTTTACCATCTTTAGAAAGTACTGAATTAGATAAAGAGCTTGCTATTATACCAAAAGTTTTATATGGTTCGTATCTAAGATAGGATTTTACCATTTTTTTATAATTAATTTAATATATATATTTTTTTTTGATAGATTATCTAGATTATCGAAAAAATTTAATTTTTTTTTAGATTCAAAAAAAATTTACATTAAAATCTTTTCTAATATTTCATAGAAACAAATGGTTTGAATATTTATTCTTTCTTAAAACTATTTATTACTTATTACGTACAATATGTAAAGTGAATTTTTTTCTCGGATTTAAAAATTTTAGGCAAGAGTAATTGCTCAAATTATAGTTATCGGAAGTCAAATATTAGGGAAGGCTTTCATAGAGGCATATAAACAAGCAGTAGCAAGTAGGGGTTTTTCCAATTCGATTTATATTTTATTATAGTACTAAAAAATACATATTTATGTTTATATACATTATGATTATTGTTAGACGCGTCAAGAAATAGTGGTGCAGCAGTAAATAATGGAGGGGGAGGCTCTTCGAGAGTTTTGGATGCATTAACAAGAAAAACCGGTATGACTATCGACGAAGCATGTCAGATATTAAACGTGAAGAAAGATATTATGAATACTGATCAGATTACTAAGGTATTTTGAAATATACATACATATTCATTTATTCATCTATTTTATTTATAAATGATTTTTTTGGGGAGTTGGAGCGAAAATTGTAATATATAATTATAATGTTCTACAATGATAATAAAATGTCTTTATAATAACAAAAAAAAAGAATTTTGACCATTTATTTAAAGTGAACAATACATCAACTGGTGGATCATTTTATATACAGTCTAAAGTTTTCAGAGCTAAAGAACGTATCGATATGGAACTTGCAGCTAAGGCAAAAAATTCAGATAGTATGTGATATTTAAGGCTTTACCATAGAGAGAGCCATATATGAGCAGATTTGTAAAAATTGTGCACGATTGTAAAAGACATCTTTTTTAGTAATTAAAAAAGAGGATGT